ACATAAAATAAATTCCTTGATTCTCATCACTAGACACAGTCTACACTTTGAAATGTCGAAGACAGTGGGAGATTTATTTTTATATTTTATATTTATATAATTTATATATCAATAGTTCGTATCTCCACGAACAATGACAGAATGACTGAGTTTCTTTAAAATACAATGAAATTTCACTCAAAATTCTGTTTTTTTCAAATTGGAAGTTTAAAATGGCAATAAAAACTCTATATAAAATATGAAAAAATTAACTGTCTTGAATTATTTTGTCGGGCGGTACATTTATATTGTATAACGAAATATAAAACGTCAGTTTCATGAGGATTTTAAAATTCAGTCGGGCGGTGATGAGAATCAAGGAATTTATTTTATGTTGGGCAGTTGAGACTTGGGAGCAGCTTGGGAGTGGCTAATTTTGAATATTTACTTAATTAATGCTCTATAAATAGCGTTGATGCTTCAGGGGCGGTAGTTCATTTACACCCAGTTTTGCGGCAGGCGGTATTTTCTACGTACCGCCTGCCATGCAGGCTACAGCCGTGCTTACATTGCAGTTCCTGATTTGGGAATGTTTGATATTTGTTATTCATGGAATTTCAATACAAATCAATGTAATCTAACCCCAAACGTTTTAAACTTTTGTGAAATGCTTCTAGTGCTTCATTCAGGGGCGTACATATCGATTTTGTGTGGGGGGGTGTTTAGCAAAAATGAGACCGACTTATGCACCGTTCCCTAATACGAGTGGCGCAATCATGCACGAGCCCAGCGGGTCCCGGGGCATACTCCCTGGGAAATTTTTGAATGTAGAGTCCCTGAAATGCCATTTACTGAATTGGGGGGTGGAGGGATTTTGCAGAATTCTGATGGTCAGAAAACGCTTATAACATGAGCAAAATTGAGTAGTACGCATTGGAATTCATATTTATTTAAGTATTTTGCAAGAGCGTGCAAAGTACTAGTGTGAATCTGTGACAACTTATGAAAGTGATATTAATTACATTATTTGCATGGACCTTTATCGTTGATATACTGTTGTGGCGACTATACATGAATTAGCAAAGATTTGACTATGTCCTCATATTTTCATCAAGCGTCCGCGCTTAGTCAAGTTTGACCACCGATCGGCGATTTTGTCAAGATTGATCGTGTCCGTCAGGTCACGCTCACACGCAAGAGTCAATAATTCATTGAGGCGTTCCTGTTTCATTACTGAACGCATAACAGTTTTTACTAATTTGAGCTTTGAAAAACTGCGTTCAGCAGATGCGGATGTTACAGGCACTGTAAGCAGCAATTTGAAACATCGTCTAGTCAGTGGAAACAGTGTTTCACTCCGGGTTTTCAGATAAGCTAGGACATCGTTGACTGATCGAATTTCCTTGTGGTTTTCACTCAAATGGCATCGGAACGTGGTCAGTTCAGCCTCCAAGGCGTCCTCATCCTGTCGCATCGACTCTGGAAACATAGCACAGAACCGTACCAATTCTGTATTGTCGACTGGGCCAATGTAGGGTGGTTGAAGCAGGGTCACGGCCGGTTGAAGTATATTTGTAACAGCCTCCAGATTTGCCTTTATTGCATTTATTTGGGCATCGAGTACCGCAAAAAATTCTTTCCTGTAATGCTCCACCAGACAAAGATTGGCTGCCGTTTCAGGGTGATCGTCGATACGGCGAGGCTTCTTGCGTTGGCGGTGATGCCTGTTATACTCGTCATCAGGATCGATGCCATGTTGTTCGGCCACAGACTTAGTCGCTTGTATCTGATTTTTCAGGCCCTCGCCGTCATTGCGGATGTGTTCGAGCGTCGTAATGGTTGTTTTGAAACTTTCGATGGTATCAATTATATTCATTTCGATGCCTTGAACTTCTGTAGTCAAACACTTGGTCTTACCCATGACGTTTTTCATGAACATCAACATCACCAAGAAGTTGAAAGATTTCATCTTATCCTGCAATGCTCCCGCCTTTACTCGTGTTTTTGTGTCGTACTTGGAGTCGGTCAGGACCTCGAGGACTTCTAATACGACTGTGTAGGAGCTCCATACGGCACAAATAGATTCTTCGCGTGCTACCCAACGCGTGGCCGACAGATTGCGAAGCATCAACAGTTCTTCGTCGGATTGTTTCACTTTCTCGCGGTAAACATCGAATCGCTTAGTGCTGGATGTGACGAAAACGAAGAGCTCTTGCAATAGCTCAAAAAGTGCACATACTGGTACACTCGCCTCGCAGCTGTGCTCCACTGACGTATTTATTCTGTGGGCCGTGCAGGGTATATATGGAATGTCACGTTCGAGATGAGTTTGCATCTTTGCTTGACATCCCCTGAATACACCTGACATAGATGCAGTGAAGTCGTACGATTGGAAAGCAATACCGTTTTTATCAAGACACTTTCTGTCGAGTGATGCGATAATCGCCAGTGCTTGCCCATCCCCGGTTTTATCATTGATGTCTTTGATGTCGACCAAGCGTTCAGTTGGAAGACCGGAATCCGGACAAACATATCGAGCCACTACTGCCATTTGATCAGTGTGAGACACGTTAGGGGTCGTATCAGCAATCACGCTCCACATTGCAGACCTATTTATCTCTTCCGTCACTCTGTTGGAAACATCTTCACCAAGCAGTTTGATATATTCATTTTGAGACTTTGGAGAAAGATATCTGGCAGCATGAGGACGTTTGGGGGCATCAGCTAGCCACCGTTTGAAAGACGGCACATGTCTCGAAAGTAACTGCACGAACTGATTGAAATTACTGTTCCCTTCATTTTCTTCGCTAGATCCACGCATGGCCAAGCCTTGACGTGCAAGTGTTCTAGTGATATCGAGCATAATTTTGATCGCATCTCTGTTACGTTCGATTTCTGCTGCACTATCAATCATCTGTTTTCGTCGAGCTTTATCCATCAACAAGTCAATGTGTCCTCTTGGATCGACGAAACTGCTGTAACGCGGCTTTGTGACTACTGCAACCAAAATGAGCGGATAGCTTCCCTTTCTTCTTTTGTCCGACACTTTTCATCTTGTCCCACGCGTTCTGACCGTCTTTAATCCAAGCATCCCTGGAGTCAGATTGAGGGAATAACTGACACACAAAGCAATAAGCTTTGTCTGTGTGGAGGGAATATTCTAGGTATGGATACTGTTTGAACCATTCTGATGAAAACGTACATTGTTTTTTCTTATCCTTTATGTTAGGATTTCTAGAATAACGCGTGAGTTTGGGCTGGAAAGGGCCTTGTTCTATCAGGCAAATCCTGTCTGCGTCAGAGATTATATTCCGCCTCTTGGCCGGGTCACGTTCGATAGGAGAATGATCCAGAGGGTTATTAGATTTTTCTTCATATGGGACATCATCAAGCTTTGTCAGTTCATTGACAGCCATCTTGAGTAAAGATGAACTCTGAACATTTATTCTCTGAACAATATCCACCAAATCACCAAGTAAGTGCTTTGGGTTTGGGGCATCAGCATTATCGGCAACTGAAAGCAGTTCTTGACATTCGCCAACAGTAGATGTCAAATGCCGTAATTTGCCATAACATGTAATCCAGCATTCAGTAGAATTCTCAGTTGCAATATCGGTGTCTGCAATACTAGAATCCGAACTATCAGAACTTTCAGAAGTAATTTTGTCAACTTGATCATCGCGATTCACGTTTCGTTGCTGCTCTGGTGATGGCTTATCAACCATTTCTTCATCACTTGTCATCTCATGCTGCTGCTCAATCTCCAACTGTGGATCGTTTTCACATGTCTCGCGAAATAGGGCCTCCTCGACTTCTATGGGTGCCTCAGGTTGATGCTCTTCATCCGATGACTGGTCAGACTGAGTGTCATTGGGAGGTGAACGTGATGGCGACTTTGCTTGTTCTTGTACATGAGATGCAAAGAGTGCAGAAAGTGTAGATTGGTTAGATTCTCTACATACCGTGGTTGGGAGTGTGGTAACGTTGTAACTGGGGTGGGAAGTGCGGCAGTGCTTACTGGTATAATCGTTATTGAACGTTGACCCACAAATTCCACACTTGACTTTGTAACGTCTTCCAACAGGCATCTGGAAGTAACATACGGTTTAGCCTAGTGATCACTTAGTGTGGTTTGGCTGTTGGATTATATACGTTTTATGTATATATTTCTACTGGGTTGAGTAAAAATTCTTAATTTAATAAAGTTCAATATATCGACTTTACATTTAATAATTTAAAGTTTATTTACGTGTTTTTGAAACGCGTTAACAAACTCACCTTTCCTTTCTCCAATCCAAAAGATAAAACTATGCTTCCGATAACTTCTTACCAACTGTTCGACAGATATTATTCCGTTTATTCGTATTTGACAATCAAGAATATATTTTGAAATATCAATATCTTCGTAACAAGCTCTCTCAATTTCTTAGACCAACTTACTCATAACAGAATAAGAGTGAAAAACATTTTTTTTATACATGACAAGGTTATTTTATACTATTTCTATACTATAGTTTCGTGTGACGTATGCAATTTAGGTTGCACCTATTCACAAATATGACGCGCGCACACGCCTATAGGAAGGGTGTTTTCGCTTTATCTAATTAGCATTAACAGCGTCTTCGCAAGCATAGAACCTACGCACGCGACACGTCACAGCCTAAAGATACTATGGTCTATGAGCGTCTCGAAAATTCTGATGTCCTCGAGGTTTATGCTGAATATTAATGCTGCCCGTGTGGTTTATGCTGACAATGTGATTGAAAGGGTTTATATACCCACTTCAGTGGTAACAAAAGTGTATCGTGTTACACCGAACATACTCGGCTCAAATTTAAAAATTCGCAATATTTTAGTTGCGTTGGTTTTGAGCCTACGGAAATACGGAATATAAAATCTGAACGTATAGGAAATTTCCAAAGGTATTTTAATTGAGATTTAAAAGTATTGTGGAGACCGGAGTCCGACGTCTAGGGTTCACAAGTTCAGCTGCTTCAGCATTATATAATTTATAGATTATTTCCTAATGTTGAATATCCTGCGCAAATGACCTAATTGACCTTTATAATATCGTCTAATCTAATCGTAACGTCTTAAAGTTAAACTTTCCATACGTGGAAAATTGGAAACTACGTGAACCTTTGGTGCGCATTGTGATATCCAATCAAAGCAATCATACGTAAATACATCATATATATTCATACATATATTAAGTATTTTGGATTTTGCCCGTCTATTTCGCCATTGTTTACTTCATTGATTAATTTAGTCGCCGATACATAATTTTGAGACCGACTGCACTGACTGCACTTATTTTGAGACCGACTATTTTTTCCCCTGGGGGGTGAACCACCCCCCCACACCCCCCCCCCACATTTACGCCCCTGGCTTCATTATAACCATGGCTATCATCATATAGCTTCGTTGTGACATAAATATCCTCTCTTGGTATTTCTGAAGCGCTTAGAGCCTCACCAACGCTTTCTTCGTTTCCGTATCGTGCCGCGGTATCAATTTTCCGATAGCCGGAATTCAGAGCCCAAGTGACTGTGTTTATTGTGTCTAGGCCGTTAGGAATCTTACACACACCTAGACCAAACGTTGGAATATAATTGCCGTCATTGAGCCGAATCCTTTTGTCGTTCTTGTATAAATTCTTCAGGTCACAGCTCGTTTCGGTACATTGATCACTTTCACACAAACATAAATTCAAATTCAGAATTATACACGAAATTATTACGAGACTTTTCATGACTGTTCCTTAATAGAAATAGCCCTAAGTACAGAAGCCTTAATCTTATTCACTTACTGTAAATATCGCGATCGAGTACAAATTTGACAAGTTCTTGAAAAAGTTACACAGTTGAATTTGAGTCCATGTCCGCTAAAATTATAAATATGCCAACATTTCGTGCACAAAACATATTGTCTTGTTGTACAAAACGTTCGAGTTCATTTCATTTCAAAAGCTTCTACTAATATAGTTTTTATTAAACGGAAGAATTAAGGAAGTGATGTAGTATTGAATCATTGTCCAACATGCATACCACTTTTAGTTGGCGACCATGTTGTTTTCCCACACGTTCGAACGCGGATGTCACGCGAGACATACGCGCGCAGAAATTAACATAAATCACACATAAATTTCGTAAGAAACTTTCACTGGAAAGCAGCCTTATGGTGCAAGTCCACATTAACTGAATCATACAAAGATATTTTTCGTAGGTTCAAATGATCCACATTTTTGTCAATAACTCACTTTTTTGCGTAGCATGTATAATATATATGCACATTTCAGCGTTTTATCCCCATTTCAGCGTTTTATCCCCATTTCAGCGTTTTATGACTTTTATCCCCATTTCAGTTTCCGCTTTCAGTTTCCGCGATTCGGTTTCAGCGTTTTATCCCTACCCGGCGTGACTCAACCTACGCAAAATTGGTGACTCTTATTGGATGCTGATCCTATTGCCGTGTTGGCCATATGATAATTATTTGCCTCCATGATTCTTTAATTTTCTATAGCTATTGTAAAATATAGCGCACAGAATTGTTTGAATGCAGTTGTAAACACTTAATTATTTGCATACAGTTAAAATATCATGTAACGTATATAGATCGCAAGGCAAAATGGATGAGAACATCATGGTTATTGTAAATCTTACTATGCCTGTGGTCTATATGCATAGGCAGCCCAGCAAAATGTGTAAAAGTGCATTAAACGCTTAAAAATAGGTATAAAGTTCGTCTAAATTTGCTATCAAGCGATTTATTTGTGTAACTCATTATACATGCAGATTCCGATGTTTACGTCATTAAACATCGGAATCTGCCGTGATGAGCTATACACAAATAAATCGCTTGATAGCAAATTGAGATGAACTTTATACGTATTTTTAGGCGTTTAATGCATTTTTACACATTTTGCTCGGCTGCCTATGGTATATACTTAACATAAATGCAATTTGTAACGTGCTTTTCTTTATTTATTTATATATATATATATAAATAAAGCGTATATATATATATATATATATATATATATATATATATATATATATATATATATATATATATATATATATATATATATATATATATATATATATATATATATATATATATATATATATATATATATATATATATATACATATATGTATATATATATATATATATATATATATATATATATATATATATATATATATATATATATATATATATATATATATATATATATATATATATATATATATATATATATATACGCTCTGCGCATGTCTGGATGCGTTGAGTCACCGTGTTGTACCACATGCCTTGGTGAGAGCAAGTTCATGGGATATAAATACGAGTGTCTCACGTATCTAGATGTGTACCAAGCTGCACTGACGAGGCGTAGAACGCCGAAACATGCATGTCTGCAGATTGTACTATATATATATATATATATATATATATATATATATATATATATATATATATATATATATATATATATATATATATATATATATATATATATATATAAATTATTATTGACTTATAAATCTGCTTTTGACGAGTCAGTGACACTGGAAGAGAGAGCATTGTTGACTGAGCTGAACACATTTGACAACAACCTGCACTTACAGTTCCTTACTGACGACCGCGACCTTACAATGTCATGTGTTTCTTCGTACACGGCGAGGTGGCATTTTAACATCCTACTTCTTTTAGTTTTCATCTACATGTAGTTTACTTGTTTAGACGTTATTGCCGATCATTTGAATATGTTCGCCTTTGCAAATCCCACATGCGTCTTTTAATTAATGGAGTATGCTTTGTTTCGATATGCTATCTCCATGATTTAGGAATCTTTGATCATTCAATTTTTAATTCTTTGATCGTTTTCTATGATTTACTTCTTTAACTGTATGACATATGATATGTGAATATGTGCACAGTTTTGCAGGGCCTTTTTTAACTATATACGTGGGGGAGCCAAGGACCCCCCACCCCCTCCTTTGCCCCCCCCCACTGATGGGTTTTGCCCCCCCCCCCACTAAATTGTCATGTTGTTACTTTAGCACATAGCATAAAATAAAAATGCATGCACTACTCTGGGCAGTGGGCAAGAACAGTTAAATTTCCTACCATTTAAATAATAACAGAATAATACAGTTTTATTCAGATCAGTGGTCTATTCCTTATATTTGTGTAAAACGAAGTACATGTACATGAATCAGTTCATAACGCAGGCGCATTGTAATTGACCTGGTTGTTTTTCGAAATTTGCTTTTTTAAATTGTTTTCATAACATTTTTTGGGATTTCATTTTCTACAAAACATATTAAAATATTGTCAATATGTGATTGAGAATGTCTAATGCAACAAAACGAAAGGCAGAAAATGAAAAAATTCTGCAAAAGGAAGCAAATACATGCAAAAGGATAACTTCATTTTTCTCCAAAGCCACTGGAGAATGCAATCAATCTCATATACCCAACCGGGTACCAAACTCAGAGAACGTTCAAGAGGCTGATATATCCGAATGGGTTCCAAGCTCAGAGGACGTCCAGGAAGAGTTTACATCGGATAGCCCTATGGGCGCTGAAAGTCTAAGCACTTGCGACCAGTTTCAAGACAAGGACAGTGTCGGTAATTGTACAACTGTAAACTCTGACACTTCGACCATTTCGAGTGTAGTCCCAGAGAGTAGTTTAGGACCATCGCTGGAGAATGACGAAACATGTCGAGAGACATGCCAAGAGTCCAACCAAAGGTGCCAAGTTTATCTATATCGCGGTTATCCTTTGAATATAAACGCTATTGTTAAAAAGGCAGGGCCCGGTGTGCTTCATCTTTACAAAGAGAAGTCCAAGACTCGAAGTGCAAATCAGGAAAAAAATAAAACTCGGTCATTCGTGAAATGTCTTGTGTGTGCTGAATATGAAGAGGAGGCAAAACGATTTTCTACCAACCATCAGGTGTATCTTGCGTACGGTGTTCGCTGTGACGGGAAAAAGAAAATGCAGGATGTTGTGGATCATTTACTCGGTGCCGCCCATGACGCTGCAATTAAGTTGAAAAATCTTTCCACTCAATGGGCTACAAAGGCTCCAAATCATCCCTGGTTACGGACGCTAAAGAATCACGATTCAAGCGTCATCAGGACACTTACACATATGGCTGTTGACGTCCTACTACTATGGCTGTTGACGTCCTACGTCCTTACTATCATTGTATAGGTTGAAAGAGTTCATATTTTGTAAAGATTAAGATTTAAGCATGTTTTGCTAAATATTGTCAGCTCCTCGCTGTTAACAATATATTACACAAAAAACAGTGCGTTGATGAGGGAAAAATTTAACTAATGATAACTGATCGTATCATTTTAAAAATATTTTTCATTCAATAACAAACACAGAAACTGTCCCACTATTACTGGTCCCTTCGGTGGTAACCGAAAGGTCCCTTCTGTACAAAAGGCCCCCCCACGAGCAATTTCTTAAAAAAGGCCCTGGAGTTTTAGCACAAGTTTGGTCTTTTGCTGAGATAGTATTCTCATTATATGTACATATTGCTAAAATGTTGTTTTTATGGACAAATAAATTGACTCAATACTACATCGACACTTGGACGACACAGGACAATTAACAATTAGACAACGAAGCCGAGTCAGTGGCGTAACGTTATATCAAGGGGCCCCCGGTTCAAAATTTTCGAAGGCCCCCTTAGTAGAAGTGCCAAAGGCACGAGTCGAGCGCCGTATATGCACGAGTTTTCCAGGGGGTCCAGGGTATGGTCATGCAAAAAATTTTTGAATCTAGACTCTCTGAAATGCCATTTCCTGGACTTTGGGGAGAGATTTTACAGAATTCCGATGGTCATAAAACGACATTGTTAAATATCAGAGGCCCTGGCAAATGTTTTTGCCCTATCGCCTAAGCCTGGGGGCCCCCATTTGGGTTGGGGGCCCCCGGGTTTACCCGGTCTGAGCCCATAGTAGTTACGCCACTGAGCCGAGTTGTCTATGAGCGAATAGTCAACGAGGCGAAGCCGAGTTGACTATTCGTTCAGAGACAACGAGGCTGAGTTGTCTAATTGTTTTAGTATAAACCACACAAAGAAAACGGAATTTTTCACTTGACTTTTATGTAAAATAATAACGTTTTAACGAAATGAGCGTTTAAATGGCTTCCTTGGCTTTGGCGACATTTCGTCTTGGCTTTGTTGACATCTACTAAGTGTTGCGAACTCCCAAGAATGACTTGAAAAATACAACTTGTGAGTTTTAAAAAAGTTAAAAAACATGTCATAAAACAGTATAATAGTAAGAGACCGTTATAGAAGCAAAGTTTGGTTAATTAAAACTTATTTAAAAGAAGGAAACAAGGCTTAAAAAATCCAAAATTTCGAACACAAAATGGATTCCCGAATTTTTATTAAATTAGTAAATAAAGTTTACGTCGTTAAAAAGCCGAATAAAAATGCACATACATGCAAAATAATCCGATTATCCGAATGTCTTTGAAATCTTTAAAATATCTGGAACATAAAGAGGCAAACTATTTCCATAATCTAGTATACATAGACAATAGTTTAGATTAAAATTCAATCGAAAAACTCGACTTAAAAAGGCTCGAAAAAGACGAAAAACAAACTCGGCCAAAATCTCAACATTTAAACGAAAAAAACTCTTTAAAATGACAGCTAAATACATGAACTCGTACTTAAAACAAGCACACACTAAAGAGGTTGAGAAAATAGGGGTAAATAACTACAAAGTATTGTTGAATTTCAACGATTCTGCTTGGAATATTAACAAACATTCTGCACATTTTAAAAAATCGCCTGTCACTTTCATGTTCAAAACTACGAGCAAAGTTGAGAGTTTACCGCATATGTCAGCAGTTTCCAAGAGTCTTTGTTTGTCTGTAATCCAGAACCAAAATTAGACCATTTTGATAAGCTTTTTCCCTTTAAATACAGCTTTTAATGCTAAACGGCCATTGACTCTCGCGCCCTTCGCCGCTGTTGCTGCTAGTAGGCTATCACAAATAGCCTACTAGTAGCGTAGCCAATCAGAACGCACGATACATGATAGCCTACTAGTAGGTTTATACTAATTAACAGTTATTCTACGAACTCGAGTCGAATATGAGCTGATAGCCGATGAGGCGCGTAGCGCCGAATCGGCTATTGATCATATTCGACGAGAGTGAGTGGAATAACTGTTTTATTATATACACAAGGTCTGAATTCACAGACTTTGCTTTTCCGTTATTTCCATAATTTTTCTATTTTGTTTATGTTTTTATCTTCGCTCTTTCGCCCGATTATTTTTTCAAAAATATA